CACACACTTAGAACACTGGTTGTAGAACTTTTCTGGCCAGAGAACATATTTATATATACATATGTACATACATACACTGTTAAAAACCTAGGAAAGACAGATATTTATGCACTCCGAGCTATGTAGTATAGATATGGGAATAACTTCGTAATAGTTGGTTGCTTAATGGTAAATTCTCATTACCACAACGAATCACTTCATTACTCCATATGCGGTGATGTCCACTATTTCCGTGAAGTCAGATAAATATGCACTCCGGTCCGTGATGATTTAATACCATTTTTATAAAGGTACTCTAACGGCACTTAAAGGGACGTTCGTAAACTTCGTAACGCAAAGAGGGGTGGGTGGGGGGTCAGGGTCTAATGATATCGTGCCTATGTGACACATGTTAAAGGGGGTGGGTGGGTGTCCAGAAAACCAAAAATTTGCGTTATGAAGTTTACGAACGTCCCCTAATATGAAACTTTGTCTTTTAAGTAGTTAAACCACCATAACTACTTTGTATTTAATACTAATCGGATAGGAATTTGTTACTGAATCAATACCAGTACGGAGCATTCATAGGTACGTACATATTTAAGTGCGACACACCTAGATTTTAACAGTATGCACAGATAATGTGTTGTCGGTGAAATTTTCGAAATTCTTGGTTACAGGAGTAAGTATACACCCCAAAGGTTAACTATAGTGTAAAAACCACGAGAAGCTATTTATGCATGACTAGAATCATTGCGTTTATCCAAAATCGATATTTAAAGCATCAGAAACAAAGTTAAATATGTAATCCATACAGTCAGAAATATCTAAATAAGTAAATCAAAATATGATGATTATACGTAAATATATACATATTTATAAATGTGTATGATGTATGTAATTGCCGATTTAGTAAATGCATATGAATTATTTATCTACCTTATCATGGGTGAGTCGATATTAAGTATTTAAATCAGGATTACAAATGATATATATCACTGACAATGCAAGTCTTTTACTCAACTCAGATCGGGTTGGGACCAATTTTATTTTGTTCACCGCAAAAAAAAGCTTACCCGTATTTTTTCATTTTTCCTAATGCGCTAATTTGAGCGCGGGGCGCGAATTTTAAAATATTTTTCAGCCAAAACCTCGCTTTTTAAAAATTCTGTAAATTTTCGAATTTTAGCGCGAATTCAAAAATTCGAAAACATGTCTGTTCAGAAGGACTTACTTGACTTGTAAAAAATCCGAATGCATTATTTGTTGAAAAATTAAAAATTTGAGAGTTTATGCTTTTATTTAATTTCAAAAACTGGCAAAAAATTTTGAAATTTAAATTTCGAGACAATTGGATTTTTCATAAGTCAACTAAGTCATTCTGAAGAGACATGTTTTCGAATTTTTGGATTCGCGCTAAAAGTCGAAAATTTACAGGATTTTTGAAAAGCAAGGTTTTGGCTAAAAAATGTTTTAAAATTCGCACCACGCGCCCAAATTAGCGCATTATGAAAAATGCAAAAATACGGGTATGCTTATTTTTTGTGGTGAACAAAATAAAATTGGTCCCAACCCGATCTGAGTTATACACGTAAAAGACTTGCATTGTGAGTGAGATTTAGTGAGGTTTAATGATATATATCACTCATCTCACTTGGGGCTGAGTGGGAAATATGAGAAATAATGAGATAAACTTGTAGTTAATCAACCCGTCCGCTAGGTGGCGGCAGTGCATGGCTTATATTTCTCACTATTTCTCATTATATCTCAGTGAGATGAAATTCTTAAAGATGAGATGAGATTTCTGCAACCCTGATTTAAATATATACTTTTCAGGGGAACCTCGACTACTCTCACACATCGATATCCTTCCGAATAACCTTAATCGACAGATAATTTAGTAACACTAAAACTTTCTTATAGAACATGGGGTGCAAAATTGCGTTTTTACGAAATATTTGGCTAGAGTTGGACCACACATTTGCCATTTGCCCAATGGTTTTAGCTTAGCCACCAGCCTTTCGAATGATGAAATGAACTTTATAGAATATTGATACCTGTTTACCTGTCCGCGTTAGCCAAAACATGAATATGCAAAAAAATGAAGCAAAGGCTTGCCAATTTTTTGCAAATTGCGGAAATTGGAAAAATTGAAGTTCAGCATATTTCAGAAAAATAAATAAGTTAAAGTAGCCAATGCTAGCCTATTTTTATTTATTTCTCGAAATTTTTTGCGATATTGATTTTTCTTAGGTGAAGGAAAAGTAACCATAAGGTGATCATGTTAAAAGATCGCCATGGTTACGGCGAAGCCTAAGTATGCATTCAGCTGCAACTTTGAAAAGGTCGCACTGAGATTTCACCCGAACCGTTCGTTGCATGGAAAACATGTTGAAACAAAAAAACTAGAGAATTCTGTGTTACAGAGTCATTTTTCTTATTTTTCCAAAATTCTAATTCCTTCAGGTAGAAAGTCCGATGCCTAAAGTTTCAAATCTATTTCCTGGCATCAAGCAAGTGTTTCCGACCGGGGGCTTGACATTTTTACTATTCTCCTGGATAGTGCGCACATTTTAAGCCCTTGTTCGACTTTATCGGATGAAAACTCAAGGAATTAGAGCTTTTTGAAATATTGCCATTAAGCGACCTATTTACGTATGCGCAAATATACGTGTTAGGTTACTGGTTGCTAACGTGTGCTAATAATGCAAAGTTTCTTTAGCATTACCACAACATAACAATCCTAAAAATTCTGAAACATTCGAGATTGATCAAATTCCATGAAATATAAATATAACGCATCCGCACCCAAAAGGGGATTAATTTTGTATACCACGCATCCACCCAAATGAGAATTAATAACGTTTAAGATTTGATAATTATGATTTTATACATTTAAGTTCACAAATCACTAAAAATAATTAAATAAATAAATTTTAAAAAACAAACTTAGGTGAAGGACGCGCTTAAAATATTAAAACAAGAAGCGTTAAAAAAATGTCATAATATCGTTTAATATTTATTAATTTTTTTCTTCACCGTGGGCCCAACTAAAACAGTAAAAAAATATACTTTCAAGTATTTGGAATAATTGTATGAAATACGTAATTTTTGTATAATAAACTTTGAAATTTGAATGAAATTTGAAAGAGATTTGAATGGTTATCTTTCAATAAATATATACACCTGTTATGGTGGAGATTTGCTCAGGTTCTGGCGTATTTTAATAATTCCCCTTGAAACAGGTATTAGTTAATCAAGTCGTTGTTTTAGTTGCATTTAATATTAATTATCATTGCTGTGAAAACAAAATAGTTGGGCCCACGGCGAAGAAAAAATTAATAAATATTAAACGATATTATGACATTATTTTAACGCTTCTTGTTTTAATATTTTAAGCGCGTCCTTCACCTAAGTTTGTTTTTTAAAATTTATTTATTACAAGTTGCAAAAAAATGCCGTGTTTGACGTCATTATTTACCTATTCCACAAATCAGCTTTTCCTTTGTTCTTACATATTTATATGATAACTTTTAAGCTTCTCTAAAAAGATAATGAAAAATTGAACAATCGCGAACTTCAATTTTTGTAATTTTTTGCAATAAGATAAATGTACGTATTTTGTATTAGTTTAACTTGTAATTTTTGTTGAATTTAAAGAAACGAAAAATTCAAATTTTTCCGATTTCCACAATTTGCAAAAAATTTGGCAAACCTTTGCATCATTTTTTGCATATTCGCTGTTTAGGTTCCCTTTTTAGTGTCAAGTGTAATAAGTCATACACATGGTAAACTTAACGACGCAATAAACAAGAAAACAAGGTTTTAGCATATACGTAAATATTAGTAATCGACAGTTTCCTGAAATTCGCAAGCCTATTTAGAAGGGAAAAAATCGTTTGCAAAACCTTACCAACCTGACCACAAACAAGTGAAAAAATTCACCATTTATTAGCAATGTTTCATGCTACATTCGTGCAAAATTTGGAATCAATTAAGTTAAAGCTCAATAATTTATAGATATTTATCTGTCAAAAAGTTACGCAACATAATTGTATGTAGGTGCAGCTAAATAGTTAATTAAATAATTTGTCTGCCTACATTTAGCCGCAATTATCGTCAGGGCCTTGACTCAACAACCTTTTAGCGACACTTTTGTCGATATTGGTCCACTCTATTGCGCTAACGGTTTTCAGGGAAGCTGGGTTTGTGGATTTCCGTTCTGCATACATAATCCCGACTCTGAATCCATCACCTAAATCAGAGTTGTGCTAAATTTACCCATGGTTTAGTGATAAAGGGCAATTGGGTAAAATTTACACAACGGTTGGACAAATTTTACTCAACTTTTGGATATATTTTGCACACTATTTATTGGTGTCGTCCTCTTTTTTACTCAACCTTGGGTAAATTTTCCACAACTCTTATTTCCAGTGATTCTTTTCTGCATTCACCTATCCGGCATTTTGGGATTTAGATCCCATAAAATTTCCAAAATTCGATCAAATCCGAGCCGGACTCATGCAGAACACTGAATGCTGATAACACACTGCATACATAAATCATATCGATAAATTGTTCTGAATAGCAACACACTTACTTACCTGCATACTGGATGAGCATGGCTTCATGGAAATTGTAATGCGGTTTCTTAATTACTCCAAACTGTTTAATTAATTGTACACATTATGTATGTATATCTTGAAGGCTATTTTATTTACAGTTTATTCATGGACAACGTTTTCCTCTAGAAAATATGTGAATTGGTATATGCATTTCAAGTTTATTTTGCAAAACTAAACCACAAGGACGGAACAGGTAAACGAAAAAAAATATGTACAGACCCAGACCCAGACCTTCACCGTGGCGTTAATTACAATTAAACTTAATTTATTTCTCTACTAATTATACCCCCTGTCAAATCGAGGACTTTGAATTGTTTTTTATTGCCAATTATTGCACGTGGACCAGACCTATTCTGGGAAGTAATTGCCTAATTATCACCTATAAAATGTTTTACAAATCTCTCAACAAACTGCACTATTTTCTTGGAAAACTTGAAAATGGGAGGAAAATTATCATCCTGTTTTACCGTATGGATTGTGATCCTAGCGATCGTGGTCTTTTCGCAATCTAGACTCGTCGAGAAGCGTCGATACAGTAAATAAATATACAAATTTATATTTCTTAAAATTTTGCGTATTTTAAATTTGTCGAAATTTTAAATTATTTAGCTCCGAAATTTGTTTTACATCAAATCCTTACATCAAATCCTAAAGTTTTATAGATTTTAATTTTCTCCAAGGCTAAAGTTTCCACAGATTACGTTTCCTAATACTAACCTTACTAGATTTTAAATTTGTATAAATTCAAAATTTTTACTGCCTCAGTTCCCTAAATTTTACGAGAGCTTAATTATTTCATGCCTCTAAGTAGAAAATTTAACTACGCCCAACATTTTGTTTTTTTTCTCGTCAAATTTTTTTCTACTAAATTCCTTTAAATTTCTAATATTGAATAAATATGCAAATTTTGTATTCCTTTAATAGCAAAAGCGGATCCCATAAAATGCAACATTCTCAAGTTGGGCCCCATGCCCCCCGAGGTAAAGGGCAATGACACACTTATCCTCTGCAACTGCACTATGAGTTTCATCATCATCCGGAAGGAATGCATTGAATACCAAGAAGTTTCTGATGACAGTGAGTACACTCTTAGAAATCCAGTATTAAAATAATACCAAGCTTTATATACATGCATGACTCTACGAACTTAGTATTGATAAGTAATTCTGCCTAGCAACAGCTCGGTATTAAAGTTTTACCGTATCGGTAGCAAATTTTTGCCGACAAGTAAAATTTTAATACCAAGCTGTAACAGCTTTAAAACCGAAAAATCAATAGTTACCTGTCAAACTGGTAAAAATTTAGTAAATACTTATACTCCTCACTGGTACTGATTTGGTAATAACTTTCTACCGGATTTTTTAGCAGATTGTTTCTGAGTAGAAAATTTCTCATCACCAAAACATTACTGAACGGTACTGCCCACTATTTCCATGCCGGCGTGGAGTCACATACATACAAACATGTATTTTAGTCTGTTATGATTTAATACCAGTTTTGTAAGAGTGCTGACTTCTAACAGGGTAGAACTTTCTACCCTTTTACCACCAATATTATGCAAGTATCTTAATTATGTAAATGGGTAAATTATGCAAATTATTTAGATAGCACCACCACAACTACACAACGATCATCTTCAACGTCCAGCACGACGGCCAGAACGTGGCGTCCATCGACCCGATCAACCACGACACGTGGGACGACGACATCGCCAACCACGTCGATTCCAACGACACGATTTCCAACCAGTTCATCCACCACGTTTCGAACAACTTCGTCGACAAGATTTCCGACCAGTTCGTCGACACTGATTCCTACAACTTCGTCAACAACGTTCCCGACCACATCGTCGACAACTTTACCGACAACTTCGACCGCAACAATTCCAACAACTTCGTCAACCACTAGTCCAACCACCACATCGGCAACGACGACGACTTCAACCACCACGACCACCACACAAAATCCAATCACGTCAACGGCCGAACCCACCACGTACAACCCGACCAGCACCGTCACCTCAATCACCGATGTGACATCTGAACGAAGTAAGTCAAAAGATTTTATTATTAATTGGCCTTCACGAACTATTTAATGACACGTTAGATGAAAATTTGTATATTTTCGCCTCAGATTATAGAGATTTATCTATACACTCTTAAAAACAATGTTACCGTTTTGAGCAGTATGCAAGTATAGTGTAGATTCCTAAATTAAGTTAACTATTTAAATATACTACAACCAGGGCGATGTTTACTCGATATAGATTAAAGTTTACTCTGGATTTTGTAGAGTTTACTTAATTTATGTAGAATTCGGAGTGCATTTATTTTTTAAACTGGCACCCTTATTTTTAAGAGTGTACAATTTCTAACTAAGCCTTAATTATTTTCCAGCGGCCAACAAAGGTTTCGTTCCACTTTCCCGGGATGAAAATAAGGACCAAATATTCGTCCAGGGCCATTGGTACAATAAAGACGGGACAACAAATAAGGGACACACGGCGGCGCAAGGCACTCAAATCTCCGCACAGTCAACTTTCCAACAGTGCATGCATCACGGGACGAACGGCTGCGACCAAACATGGAGCCAAGTTAGTATTTTAGAGAAAATTGTTGGATTTGGAAATGTCATGCAAAAATTTCTAAAAAAAATTGAAACTTTCCATAATTTTTAGAGATACTGGGTAAACTCGGACTACTGGAGTCCAGGAAATCCCATCTTTATCGAGATTGCGGGAGAATGGGATGCCGAAGGAGACATTAATGGCGGCTACTGGTACAACTATGCGTACAAGTATAAAGCCATGTTGGTCGTTTTGGAACATCGCTTCTACGGACAGAGTTTCCCTGTTAAGTAAGTTTCCTAAAAAACTGATAGTCGGACAAAATATTAAAACGGTAGTAATTTATTACCACACTAGCAACCCTGCAGTATCTGATTTATGGTTGATGACGAGTCAATTGGCTTTGGCCGATGCTGCCTACTTCATCGACACTTACACGCAACAAAATAATTTACAGGTTACTATTTAGCATCAAAATTTGTGTCAAATTGCCCCAGCACAATGTTTCTCAGATTTCCCCACCAACTAAATTTGTTCCCTCGCTAGGGCTCCAGCTGGGTCGCGTTTGGTTGCAGTTACGGCGGCAACTTGGCCGCCTGGATGAAACTCAAGTATCCCAACCACGTTAAAACTGCGGTCTCTTCATCCGGCCCAGTCGAAGCCATCTACGACTTTCCCGGTATTAACTAATTTTGAACTAAAACCTGGGAACCGAATTATTAATTCCCGCTGTTTCAGGATACATCCAAACCGTTTCGGAAGTCATTCAACAAACCGATTCCGGCTGTTATGACTATCTCTACAATACCTTCGGCTGTATGGAAGCCTTCGTTAATGGCAGCACGAGCAGTTGCGGGCCTTACAAGACCATTCAGGATCTTAAGGCTGCTTTGAAGTTAGCTTTATGACATTTTGTAGCAGAATTTTTTTAGGGAAATCATAGTTTCTTGTCCCAGAGCAGTTGGTTAAACGGGAACTTTTTCTAAATGGGCCAATAAGATCTAGTAAAATGCATAATTAGGATAATCTGGCAGAACCTAATTGCTCGGCGGGTAAATATAATATGGCTTCGACTTGAGCAATATGATCCATTCGATCCGATTTGTCTATCCGGCTAATTAGATCGTTTAGCATAACATTTTTCCAATCCGACCAGATATATACGTATTAATGTAGGTCAGATTCATCTTATAAATAGTAAATGACCAGATAAGAAAATCCGATCCGAAAGCTGGACTGTTTTCGGATCATATTCATTACCCCAAATAATTTACCTTTTCCATCACATCAAATCGCACATTATTTTTCAAGATACTGCTACTACGTCGACCCCAACGGAAACACGCTCTCCCGCCAACAAATGTTTAACTATCTCGCGTACCCGCCATGGGCCGATAACGCGCCTGGATCTAAGGCTTCCTCTTCATGTCAAAAACTCCGCGCTTCTAATGGTGCCGATGGCATCCAGTTTTACGGAAACTTCATGCAGTCCTCCGGCCTCAACGGAGGGTGCAGCTCAGGCACTCTGGAAGATCAGGGCGCCTTCCTTCAAACGCAGGAAGCCTGGCAAACTGGCGCGGCCGGCTGGACGTGGCAGACTTGCAATGAATTCGGATACTTCATGTCGTCCGATCCGGTTCGAGGAACCTTTGGAAGAAATACGTTTTCCGGAGATGTTTATGGATCCACATGCCAGAGACAATTTGGAGACACGTAAGAAATCTGACGTTATTCTATGGCATACTTCTATACCACAGCGAATATGCACTCTTAAAAATAATGTCACCCTTCCGAAAAAAAGTGTTATATGCATTCTAATTAAAGATAAATCCAGAGGAAGGTTAACCTTATAAAGCGTAAAGCATACTCTGGTTTTGAATAGTTTATTTAATATAAAATTCTAACTTAATTCCAAACGTGATGATCGCGGAATTCTTGTCGCGTAAATCACGCGCCAACGTAGTAAACGTTGGATCCGGTATAGAAGTCAATCTGCATGTAAAGTAAAAAAAAAATAGTTTTTTAGAGTGCGTTTACTTTTAAAAAAATTTACGTTATTTTAAGAGTGCATATGCATGCGACCCAGTACAATTTAAGTGCGAGATATTCATGATAGAAATCGATATTTAAAAAATAAACCTGCGAAATGATCTATCACGGATAAGTATCTAATTAAATTTAATCCCCAGCTACAACCGGGAATACGTTGAGGGGCAAATTGCGAACACGAATGCGTACTACGGCGGGAAGAATATCCAGTCGAAATGCGTAATTTTCGTGCATGGAACCTGGGATCCGTGGCATTCGCAGGGAGTCACCACGCCCACGGGATACAACACTGTGGTCGTTGTGCCAGGTAAATTTACACATATTTACAGGGCCGTGCATAAATTCGGCCTATTTACACAGGCTTTTCGTATTACTCCACGCAGGGAATCTATCACCGGCCTCACGACAAATTTACGGTAGGTTTCTTTATTTCCCGTAAGGTGAGACATGGTGAAGTGAGGCGAATGGCCATGGATTTTTTCACCGTGTCTCACCTTACGGGAAATAAAGAAACCAACCGTAAATTTGTCGTGAGGCCGGTGATAGGTTCCGTGCGTGGAGTAATAACACTATAAATTCCTGAAACTTTTACAAAATTTTATAACTATTTCTTAGCCAGATGCATAATATTAATTTAATATTATGCAAATTAGGAACCGAGCACTGTGCCGATACCGGAAATCCGACCAATTCTGCCATGTCCACCGCCCAGCAGACAATCAGTTCCCAACTTGGACAGTACTTGAACGATCCTAACTGCTAAGCTATTTAAGCTCTGAACGAATTCTGTATTTCAATTTGAAGAATATTCGGATAAAATAAAAAATTTATGATTGCAGACGATCTGATAAATACTTATCTGTGTCTATCTAAAATACAATGTGTGTTACATTTTCCATACTGTACATAAGTCCTGCCTGTCATTTCATAGCGAATTATTGTGTATTTGTACATATTACTAATTCATAAAAATTTGTTGCACACTTGCTTTTTGTTCTCGTTGATCAAAACAATTTCTCTTTTCATGAAAATTTTAACAAAATTTCCCAAAAGACATAACAGTTTCTAATGACCCAACGTTTAACATGTTATCTCTACAAAGCATTACCTGCTTTCATATAATGAGTTAAAAGCCATAAAAAAGGTCATGATGAAATATAAATTTGTATTTTTAATGTTTTCGATTAGAGTTGCCACGAATAATTTTATTTTCCTCTAAATCATTATTAGACTCATGTGTACATAGCTGACGTATAATTTTGCGTAAAATTTATCATACATATCCTGACTTTCGAGACGCATGTTATAGTTCAATAAACCGGATAAAAAAATATGTAATACACACTTCCTTCAACATGAAACTCATGAGCCCGTTCCGCATACATATTTTGCATCTAATTTTATCATAGATATTCAAATTTCGACCAGCCTGACGTTCCAAAGTTGTATAGATTCATCATCCTGTCATTAATATTGTCAAAACATCTGTGATTATTAATTTTGCTGAGAACTCGACTGATTTTTAACGGGAAATATGTATATGGGATTTGTCACGAAGACATGGACAGATAACAGTAAAGTACAGCGCATTTTTACGTATGTACTATCAATTTTCATGTGCAAAACATGATATACCTGGCGAGCGTATATTTATATACATACGTACAGTTTACTTTTCATACATGAAATTTTTTTTTGCACATGTGCTAATTATGGTCTGCTATAAAAACCCTTCCGCTCTTTGCAATTTTCAACACTTGAACAAAACAGTCTTTTGTCACAATAACGAAAAAAATCCTCAACTCTCCTAGAATTAAATACGAGTCATGAAAGTATACATCATTATCGTAGCCGAACTGCTAATCTGCACCGCTCTGACGGGAACTCAAGGTATATATTTTTTTTAATGCAATCTTAAAAATAATGTTACCACTTTAAAAATTAAATTCACACTGAATTTTACAAACTATACTAAACCCAAGGTTACGTTAACTTGGTAAAGAGAAAGGTTTAATCCGGATTATACTTATATATGTATGAACTTTTCAAAATTTCGAACCCAGAGAAGATTTATTTTTTATAAGGGAAACATTACTTTTAGGAGTGGAGAATTCAATGACACAAATGTGACACCCTATCGCAGATGAAGAGATATGAAAAAGACATCTTTTGACATTCTAATATTTCTTGAATCGTAGCTCATTTACATACGATCCAACTTCAGAAACTTCGCAATTTTCATTCTTCGCAATTCAATTCCGGAACGTACAAAGAAAAAGTACATAAACTTTACCCTGGATTTAGTATAGTTCGCTTAATACAGAATTTAGAGGGATTTTATTTTTCAAAATGTGTAACATAACTAATTTTTAAGAGTGTACAATTTCTTAAAAATCTTTACGGCCAACAAAGGTTTCATCCCACTTTCTCGGGACGAAAATAAGGACCAAATCTTCGTCCAGGGAAATTGGTACAATAAGGACGGTACGACCAATAAGGGGGACACGGTCGCACCACTAACTCAAATCTCTGCACAGTTAACCTTCCAACAATGCATGCATCATGGGATGAACGGATGTAACGAAACGTGGAGTCAAGTAAGTGTTTATGTACCTTTTAAAAAAAATTTTAAAATTTCCATCAAGAAATAAATCAACAATTATAAATTTCCGATAATGCGTTGGTAATCCGATCCGACCGGATTATCCGGCCATTAGATCCGGTCCAATTTGATCCGCGGGTCGGACTCGACCAGATCGGAATGTCTATTCAAAATTTCTGAAAAATTTCAAAAAATCCGCACTTTATTTTAGAGATGCTGGGTAAACAAGCAATACTGGAGTCCCGGAAATCCCATCTTTATCGGACTTGCGGGAGAATGGAATGCCGAAAATGATATCAATGGCTACTACTGGTACAACTATGCTAACAAGTATAAAGCCATGTTGGTCGTTTTGGAACATCGCTTCTACGGACAAAGTTTCCCGGTGAAGTAAGTTTCTTAAAACACGTTTGGGCCGCAAAAATATGTAATAAAAATGTCAACCTCGGTAATAATTTATTACCATAGCAATCCCGCTGTTTCGGATTCATGGTTGATGACGAGTCAATTGGCTTTGGCCGATGCTGCCCACTTCATCGACACGTACACTCAACAAAACAATTTACAGGTGATTATTTAGCATGCACATTGATGTCAAATTGCCCCATCACAATTTTTCTCAAATTTCCGCACTAACAAATTTTTGGGTCGCGTTTGGCTGCAGTTACGGCGGAAACTTGGCCGCTTGGATGAAACTCAAGTATCCCAACCACGTAAAAACCGCGGTCTCTTCATCCGGCCCGGTCGAAGCGATTTATGACTTTCCCGGTATTTATGTCGAACTGAGGGCCTAAATGATTTCAAATTTTGATTCCCGCTTCTTCTATTTACAGGATATACACGAACCGTTTCGGAAGTAATTCAACAAACGGATGCCAAGTGTTATGACTACCTCTACAATACTTTCGGCTGTATGGAAGCCTTTGTTAATGGCAACAGGAGGAGCTGCGGGCCTTACAGGACATTCAAGGATCTTAAGGCTGCGTTGAGGTAAGATAATATCTTACCTGAATGAGAATCCATGGCATACGTTAAGTGGTGCTTATGTTTCACGGCACCGTCACGTCTCCTCCTCCAAATCCGATTTTTTGATTGGTTAAAATTTTTAATTGTCGTAATGATAATTTCGATCAGCCAATCAAAAAATCGGATTTGGAGGAGGACGTGACGGTGCCGTGAAGCATAAACGCACCTTTAGTCTTTCTTTTGCCACATTCACATATCCTAGTACGGCTGGTAAACTGGATTATCATCCAGCTATTTATGTACCGAGATTGATTCGATTCTAACCGACCCGATCGTACGATCCTACCCGTCCCGTTCCGCAACATTCGGTCCGTACCATGTCGAACCTCGCTTCGAACTATTCCATCCGTTTTGCAACCAGATTCATGTCATGATAAAAAAATCCAATCCGATCGAACATTAGATCGAATATTCGATTCCGGCCATAGCTGGCCGGAATCGAACCAGCAATCTTTCTAATAGGCTACCACTTTCCCCACAAAGCCATGTGAATTGCTAGTGTATTTATCTAGTACTTGGCTGATGCGAATTTTTTAATAGGCGTATTGTATATGTATCTTCCCCAACCTTATTATGTACCTAGTATTGACCATAATTCGTATTTTTCCCAAGATTTTGTCTCGACGTCGACCCCAACGGAAACACGCTCACCCGCCAAGCAATGTTTCTCTATCTCGCTTACGAGCCCTGGGCCGCGAACGCGGGCGGATCCAAGGCTTCTTCTTCCTGTCAAAAACTCCGCGAATCCAGCGGCACGGATCGCATCCAATTTTACGGAAACTTTATGCAGTCCTCCGGCCTTAATGGGGGAACTCTGGAAGATCAGGGCGCCTTTCTTAAAACTCCGGAAGCATGGCAAACCGGTGCGGCCGGCTGGGCGTGGCAAACTTGCAATGAATTCGGATATTTCATGTCGTCCGACCCGGTTCTGGGAACTTTCGGAAGAAATACGTTCTCCAGTGATGTGTACGGATCCAAATGCCAGAGACAATTTGGGGACAAGTAAGAAATCAGATTTCATGCAATGGAATACTTGCGATGTTGAATATGCACTCTTAAAAATTATGTTAAAGTAACTACCCTGATATTAAGTAAACTAAATTAAATCCAGAGTGAACTTTATCCTTTATCACGTAAAGGTTACTCTGGATTTAATAAAATTTAGCGTGCGGCACTTACTCTTCAAAAGAGTATCATGGTTTTTTAGTGTGTACGTACATCTTTACGCTAGTAAAATTCCGCTGCAATCTCTGCCATATTGAAGTAGAGCCTTATCAATATTTAAAAATGATGCTAAGCGATTCTCAGAAAATAAGTACATCCTTAGAAATCCAGTATTAAAATGATTCCAAGCATTCCATTCATTCCATTCATTTGTGACTCTAAGAAATTTGTATCGAAAAGTAATACCATATATTTAGTAATAACTCCATGGAAAACCACGTCGGTAACAAATGGTTTTTAAGCTGTAAAATTTTAATACAAAAGTGGATTTACGAGGGAAGGATGAAAATTAACTTGCCAGACTATCTAAATCTAAAAAAGTGGGGCAAAATGACCCCCCTTAAAAGTCAGGCCAGTTAATTTCCGTCCTACCCTCGTAGCAAGTTTAAGACCTTAATACCCACCAGATTTATAACAGTGTATAAAAAATAAATAATTTTGGTTCTATCCACAGCTACACCCGGGAATACGTCGAGGGGCAAGTTGCGAACACGAATGCGTACTACGGCGGGAAGAATATCCAGTCGAAATGCGTAATTTTCGTGCATGGAACTTGGGACCCGTGGCATTCGCAAGGAGTCACCATGCCCACGGGATACAACACTGTGGTCGTCGTGCCGGCTAAATTTGCACGTGTTTACAGGGCACCGCATACATAAATCGGGCCACCTCACCAATACTTTGTAACATTGCAAAATCTGTAAAGCCCTTAAACTTTTTCAAAATACTGAAAATATTATTGAGATAGATTAGCATATATTTTATTCTTTTATGGCTCTTTTTGTTTTACAAAGTCACAAATGACTACGTGAATTGACTCTTATTTATCCCATTCCGAATTTCCTTATGTATGTATGTACATTGAGACAATTCACGTAGTCCTTTGTAATGTAAATACCTATGTTTAACTTTATAATTCCATAAAATTGCCTTTATAATTCCATAAAGTTTTGCAAAATATTACAAGATTTTTCGAAGGAAAACCAGCCTAGAAATTTGTGTAAACTTATGTAATAGATCACCAGCGTGTATGTATTTTGTAGAATTATTTTACAAAACGCAGTAGATTTTAGAAAGTTGCAAATGACTGCGTTAGTTATATCGGCCTGAGTACTCGCGGTTTTCTGCCCTAATTACGACATACTTGTGTCCTTACATTTATTAATTTAATATTATATAAATTAGGAGCCGAGCACTGTGCCGACCTCGGAAATCCGACCAGTTCGGCCATGTCAACTGCCCAGGAAACGATCAGCTTCCAACTTGGACAATACTTGAACGATCCTAACTGCTAAATTATTTATGGTTCATCTATTAAAAATGCGTCATTTTTTCGATGAAATTATTTGGTAAACGCTATAAATTTTGAGTTGAGCCGTTCTTGAAATTGTTCAGATATTTTCAAAACTAAAAACGTTTTGAAAACTTTGACCCGTTGACACGCCCCACGCCCATTAATATGAAAATAAACAAAATATGTAACAGATTTATAATAAAATGACACATTTTTAATAGATGAACCATAAGCTCTAAACGAATTATGTGCATATGTATTTAAATTTAAAGATCAGGATAAAAAATAATAATAAATCGTGATTGCCTGACACATAAATACTTGTAGCCATTTAAATAAACTAATATGTAAATTGCATTCGCTAGATAATTTATGCAAGCAAAATATCTCTATGCAGTTCGATTTAAACCTGATTTTTCATCACTTTAAGACTGGTAAACAAACTGTTAAATGACTGTATCGAATTTCAGTTTAAAGGCAATTTTGTTCTAACTTTCTGTTATCACTAAATCAACCAATCAAGGTCTACGTGCTTCTAATATGTAATTTATGCATAAAGGTGAAGATTTACACGTCGGTCAATTAAATAGAGAGTTATCACATTAAGAAATTTGCAGTAACGTAGATATTTAGAAAGGAAAACTATGTACATACATGGGTCATACCGAAAGGACGGGGCACACGTGATTTAATTAACTTCCGCTTGTATGTATAACTTGCGTTCTATCAGGAACCCCACCAAGTTCATGAATTTGGACGACATTCTATCCGTTCGTCTCCTCAAGCTTATCATCCAATCAATTATGATTAATCCTTACGTAAAATGTTGTTGTCAATTTCGCCTTATATAAATCCTTGCAATGTCACCTTTACATATGTGTACGTGACTATGCGAAATACAAGTCAAAGCTTGATGCATAAATTAAAAGCGCGTGGGTGCTTAAGTGGACCGATTAATTACTGATAATGGAACACGTTCGCTGTATTTGGGCTGTGATTTATTGTGATAAATTATCTGGACATTTTGCAGATTTAAATTATCTACTCAGCAAATGGTCATGATTTTCCAGACCTTGATACAACGATAGTTTGTGACTTTACGCATACCTGTTCAGTTTCATTCATGGTTCAGATTCAGAGAATGGTAGTGAATGAAAATGAATTTGCTGTGATTTGAATAAAAATTAGTGAAAGATTCCGTCATTTCAAAAAAGTGACTGTGAATGAAAGGATTTCTCACTCGTTTCATTTTTCACTATATGCTTGATACATGTGGTGAAGTAAGAAATTCAGTCAGATGAAGTGAAATGAAATCCATTTGAAAGGAAATCTTCAGTCATAAATCGGTAACTGAACTTTAAACGAAAAAAGTTTTTCGAACAAGTATATTTACACATCATTCATAAAAATTTACATAATTCTTATTCGCTTCTGGACCTAAATGCTTATTTCAATTTATCATTACCTTATCTGTACGTCATCTAATCCTCCAACAGAGTATAAAACAAGGTCGGGCAGGGACACGCTTAAGCTTCTAATGCTTTTCAGCATTGGAAACTGCATAATGATAAATAACTCCAGGAGACAAACACATACAATATGTTTTTCTACTTAAAATAAAATTGTAACAAACTTTGTTGAGAAAGCTATAATGTACATAGTTATTAATTTTTATGAGTATAATTACTGAGATAAAAACCTTACTCTTATTCTTGGTTTGCCCCCTTCTATTCATTCGTAATTGTGAGGAGTTAGCTGGGAACCGGAGAATACGAGATGGGAAATTCCAGACCTCGATTTATTCTATGTCCTCCAGTGATAATAATTTCGGGAAGCGTAGTAACCTCCAGAATTTATGTATGTAGAACCCTGTCATTGATTAGACGATATCAATCAATCATTTCTTCATATTAAGTAATCAGCTCTGTAAATCCCTAACCATTAAATTTCCTCCATTCAATATTTCCCATTACTTCGGAAACCATACATTCCTTCTCTCCCACAAAAACTATTCCCAAAAATGTTCTCCACCCACACTCTCCCCTTGTTAATTCAACACTTAAAAATTACCCGTCTCATTGGAAACTTCCCGTTTGAATTTGACTCCAAATCGAGGAAACTTGTCCTAATGAAATCCCGGCTACGAGTAAAAATCAGCAAAATTCAGTCGTTAATAACACTCTCCTACTTTCTCGTCCTCCTCTACAATTCATTCTTGGGAGACATGCCCGTGCTAAAAAGATTGCAGGGCTTCCCCTTCATAATCTTTTACATGGTGCTCATCCCCTGCGGGTGGAATATGGGACTGGACATTGCTCCGATGCAAATGATCAATTCGATTCTGGCCTTTGAGCGTGACCTGGTGGAGGGTAAGAAAGTGTGCAAATATTTGACAACAATTTGGCATGTTAAATGCGTATGTAATTCATAAAGCAATGTCCCCCTCAATGCACTGTCAATTATGTAGAACCCATCGGTAAAATCGGCACATTTTTAATTATTCCTCGGATTTTCTTAGAATTTTATTTTAGAAATATAGGCAACAAAATTTGTAGAGGGGGTCGTTGCCACTTTTTAGAAACATATTTACTCCGGCTTTCGAAACTTTTTGAAATAGGATATCTCATGTTTAGCAAGCCTTCGGAAAAATTTCAACTTTTCGAAACTCGCTTAAAATCTCACTATTTTATAAATGATTAAAAATGTCTTCATTTTGATTAAATATTTTTGTCACAGTTCAAAGTCACCATAAAAAAGCAAGTGTGGACTTTATCCTTTATCAAGTTAATGGTGCTCTTGATTAGTTTAATTAGCTTGATAAGTGAACTTACTTCTCAAAACGATAAAGTATTTTTTAAGATTGAATTTTGGAAATTTTTTAGATGAAGGAAGCTTCCCGCCATCATTGGAAGCAAAAGTAATGTACATATTTAACTGGGTGCTAGAGTTCACAATTTTGGCTCTTCCATTCGCGGTATGCTTTCTACTCATGGTTGACCCCTGTACGCCACCTTTCCTGCTATCATTCTCACAAAGCTGTGCCAAAATCACGTGGATATCGGGAGGTTGGGAAATCTTGGTTGTCCTGTTCGAAGCATGCGTGGCTCTGCAAGCACTCACTGCTGCATTTCCGTGCGTCTGTTGCCTACTATTTGGCGGAATTGTGGCGATTCTTGACTACTTTCATGTTCTGAAAAGGTAAGAAATATTGAAAATGTGTTAATTCTTAAAGTTCGATAGCTTGAATCGGGTCCTAAACATGATGCAATTCTCGCCGAGTTTGCATTATAAGCAAAAGAATGACTTGACAACTCTTTGAAAACTTGTCTGTCAAGCTAATATTTACTTAACATTGGTTTAAAATTATAACACGATGCGAACAAGTGTTGGTGAATTCGACTAGACAATATCCAGTCCATCGGATCCGGTCGGATTTTTTTATCCAATTATCCAATTTTATCCAATGGGATCGGATTAAATGCCGGTTTTGGTAAAAGGTCGTAAAATCCCGATTAGACAAGATTAAATTACCAGCACTACCCAGTGGGCAAATCGATGGCGAATCTCTGATCGAAATCGTAGAGATTTCGTAGCGATTATAGAGCTTCTTGACCGCCGATTCCCTGGGACGACGAACCGATTTCTCAGCGAAATCGAGCAATTGTGAAAAATCGTCGTGAAATCGTTACAATATCGCCCTAAAAATCTCTGCGATATCGCAGGTCATGTATATCTGCGATATCGTAGCGACTTCTATATCAATATCGTAGCGATTTCGCAACGATGTTGATGATTGATGATGATTGATTTCGCAATTACTCGATTTCGCAGAGAAATCGCCGCGATGTCCAAGGGAATCGGCGGGCAAGTAGCTCTGTAATCGCCATGAAATCGCTACGATTTCGATGAGCGATTCGCCATCGATTTTCCCACTTGGTAATACCGAACCTCGAAATAAATCTGTAATTGTTTAAAATTTAAAATTATTACTATGCACGTTAAGGCGGATTGGATTGTCTATCACGATCCCGGCAAATCGCGCCTGTATCAAGCTCTATCGAAAGATTCAAATCCTGGAAAAACATTTGAACGGATTTCTCATGGTGCGAATTGTCCCTACGATGATCGTGCTCAGTCCACTGGTTCAAACTGTGTGCCTCTTCGTCTGCATCGCTCTGCATGCCAAAATATCGATGCCGGGCTTTCTCATATTTCCCCTCGTCATGGTGGACGCCTTTGTTGTCAATGTGTTCGTTTATACGCTGGCCTCCTGGGTTAACATCAGATCGACCGAGCTGTTACAAATGCAGGTCAAACGTACGGTTCAGTTTGGCGGGAAAATATCCCAGCTGGGGAGAGAAATCAGGGCATGTGGCGTACTAAAGATCAAATTCGGCTCAAATTTTATCGACAATGGGACACCCTTGGTTATTCAGGACTTCTGTATGAATCAGACCCTGAATCTGCTTTTGATAAGCGCGGGAAGATCGATGGGGCGACGAAATGTTTGAATTTCCCAGCATTTAGGACCGCGTCAGCGTGCATAAATTTAGTATTAATAAGTAAGTATAAGTATTGTCACGATACACTAAATTACATTCGTGTTTATGTAAATCAGCAAACCAATATTTGTCCCCCTGACTAAGGATTTCCACTAGAATTACGGCATACGTACATACATATTATAATAAACTTAAGGACAAAAAGTCGCAATAAAATAATTTTAATGTTGGAAGTATTTAATTCCTTTAGAATTATAAAAATTTATTTGATCTTAAAATATGTACATATGTCACGATTTTGTGTTGATTCCTCCATTCGTATTTGGGGGACGAAGCTTCTCGTCAATTTTCATTCAACCCGAAAAATTACTACATGCTGACACAAGTTTGCAACATATTTGATATTAGATAATCCATAAACATTGCAATTCTGGATGCTTTTCGGGCTAAACGTAGTTTTAAATATTACTTAACCTGAGTTTACGAATATACCAGGCGTACAATTGATTCCATAATACCTGACAGTGGGTATTCAGAAAAGGTGATAAATTAACCATCTATACTCCAACCACCCGTTCCAATTTCATAGCATTGTAATCCTAAGTCTTGTAACTTATGAAATGCAGCAGGGTTTCGTGTGCAAGTAACCACTTCCCAGAAATAACTAATAAGTGGTTTCTTGCAGTTAAGTATTTTGAACTGTAAGAAATACAGGGCATAAGAAGCTACATACCTCCCGCTACTCTATAAACATGAATATGTATGTAGTTCATATCCCGCGTTGCTTCGGTTCATACATATATTAAAACCACTTCATT